CTTTCTCTCATGATCCCATCTGTGACTATATTCAGTTTATCAGTTTCTTTCAAGTCTTTCTTTCTCTTCGCCTTGTACACATTATCTCTCTTTCTGTTTCTCTAGGCTTACAGAACACGATTACTTCTTTGCTTCTTGCCCCTCCACACCACTGTCTCTGATTTCTCTGTCATTCGCGACTGATCGGAAGTCGATCAACATATATTCTTTTTTGCTTTTTCAAACTCTTGACACACCTTCGTCCTGTCCCATTTCTAACGGTTCGCGTGTTCTCCAATGTGGAATACTGTGTACCGTTGGAAAGAAAACGATGAAGACAGTAGATTCTTGGATAATCGTGCAATTTTCTTGTCGGAACGGTTTGAGAAAAGACGGATCGGATTTAACGGATTAATTCGATGTCGCTGTCGCGGGAGCCTGGTGGGAAAGATCGCCGTTTGATCGACGGAAATTAAAATCAGCTATACTGTTTAAACACCTCGTCAGATGTTTAACCACGTTTGGAACGGTTTGATCACCGAACACTAGGAACAATCGATCAATCGAGTCTGGCGATACATTTTACATAGCTTTCGTCGCGATTTTCTTCCGTTGCACCTGGTGAACGTGAGAACGGCGCTTTGAATGTGCGTGTCTAGAAAACAAAACAGAAGGTAAACATCCGCAAGTAAGATCACTTTGGGTTGGTAGAAACTGTCGATAGATCGGCAAAAGGTAATACCATCAGCCGAAAGTGAGGTGAAGCACACGCGTCGCTGAAAATGATCGTAAATCTATACGTACGTACACGCTTTTGCTTATCACGGCTTCGCAAGAATCTTCCTCTTCCCCACCTCTCGTATCTCTCATCACACGCTCATACGTATCTTTTTTCAATTCTCTTTCCTTCTTCTTCGAGGCCAGTCTTTTATCAAGACCCGTTCACTTGGACCATCGCCTCGATATTAGCCCACATTGAGTTAGGACCAATACCGAGGCGAGGTTACAGAACGACGCCGAAAACATCGATTTCACTATTTCTATATACTCTCTCTTTGTCTTCGTTTTCGTTCGTTTCTTCGCCTTCCTCCAATATTGAGTTAGGACCAATACCGAGGCGAGGTTACAGAACGACGCCGAAAACATTGATTTCACTATTTCTATATACTCTCTCTTTGTCTTCGTTTTCGTTCGTTTCTTCGCCTTCCTCCTAAGTTGTCAATCGTCCTATTGCCATCCTATCTTAGAACAGCATGGCTTCCAGCACTCTCTTTAGCTACGAATCAAGAAGTTCGCGCGAGGGTGGGCTGCCCTGACATCACGTTTCCACCATCTTAAGCAGGGTAGAACGTTACCGACGTGATGATCATGTATATTTTTTTTTCTGTTTTATTTTTTAATGTCTGACCAGCAAACGCCGTTTTATGGCCCGCCGTTCCACGTGAAAGCGATCGTCTCTGTGCGTGGAACGGTGACTATGGTCCAATTGGTATGAAATTTAACAGAGTAATTCACAAAATTTTGTGGATTTGGTATTTAATGTGTTTAACATTTTAGATGGATTTTTACCCTTCTCTGTGTCACTTAGAAATGGCACTTGAAGCGTTTCATGGAATTACTAATTCTGATTATAGTCAGATCAGGATTAATTGTTTAATTAACTAATTTTCTAAATTTATCAGTCAAGGCCACTGAGAGGCTATCTCCACCACGTCATTTATATACCCTCCTCTTATGCGACGATGTATTAAAACTTTGACTATATTTTCATTAAAATTAACTGGTCACTCAAGGACACGGATAAACTATCTCCACCGTTTCTCCTAAATTTGCAGACAATAGGCTTTCTATGTCTCAGTGGCGAAAATTAATAATTAGAGCTTTCCATGGAGTTCTTATTGACACATTGTGGGAGAAATGGCCCTTGAGTGAACAACAGATTTTGATCCGACTATAGAACGGCGTTTGCTACGTTCGAAGACACATAGCATACGTAATGTGTAATTATACCGCGTGCACAGAGGCTAGTCTAGATAATATAGCAGGTAGATGAATCATACTTTTCGGATTTCATGTTTTCTAGGACACAGTTATAACATACTCGACGAGAATCCTAGATCTTTGCCCCACCATCTTGATCCACCTCACGGCAAGGAGCAAGAGAGAATGCATATTTCTATTTAATTTTTTTTTATTAATACATTCCTTTTATTTTTCAATTCATTTAGTTCGTTTCGAGGTCATGTGTCCGTTGGTATGCATTTACGTGCGAAATTGCGATCGTAGTAAATTAGTTGTCGCAGTTTCCATCTCATGGAACTGACGTTCTGTAATTAACGTATTACATTGGTTCGCTGCCGTTACATTGCTTCGAAAGATAATGCCAAATTAATCGTTAGTACGGTTGTAGGATGGTCGATGAATTCCTGGGAGAATTTGAGGTACTGTTTTCGAAAGTTCATAGTTGTTCATTTAGTGTTAATCAGTTAGGTATTTTATAGACAGTATAACAATCACCAAAACAATTCCGTAAACCTTGAATTCTCTTTTGAATAAAATTACTCTCATAACTATTTTCCATTCTCACCATCATATTTAAGTAAAGAACGAAAATTCAATGGAGCGTAAACTACGAAGTCGACCACTCGGAATAATAATTTTGCTCCGGTCCTATCTCACAATTAATATGTAAAAGGTATACATGGGAAAAACGGTTCCAGCTCCGTTCCATTCAATTCCGATCGTTTTGTTCCCGCGCCGCGGGGATAACGAATTAAAATTCTAATTTTCCCCCAGGGGAAACGAGGAATCGAGATTCGTATTCGTTTGCCAACGATGAAAATGCATAACGTTGCAAGGAAAACGGGGTAGGGTAAGTGTGTCAGTTACTGTGCCCAATTAAGACGAAGTAAAAAGTTTTCAGTCCATTAAACAGCTATGTTTTATATTTTGCTCTTCGGAAAATTATTAAATTATGTTTTGATGTCTTATGTAATAATGTAAGGGCGCAGTAACTGACACACTTACCCTATCCCGACCAAGAGTGACTTAATCGGACACTATTCGAGCGTAACCGACACCCGAGCCATTGTAAAACATCCTTTGCAGTTTCGAGGAGATGATACGTAGATGCATGCTATCGCGGTTCACTCACCGCTGTGTAATTTCTTTCTCTGTCTCTCTCTCTCTCTCCCTCTCTCTTCATCGAGGTCGTACACCACTTTTCGCCAAGTATCCCTGATAGGTTCGGTTTCAGTCTCGGAAGAGGTGTCTCAGCTTCTCGAGGCAACCTTCTCTATTCTCCTCCCCTGTCCATGATCGTGTGTTCTCTGTCCAGTTTATTAACGGTCCCAGGATTCCTCGACTTCCGGTACCCAGTAACACGAAGTGATCTTCAGAATGCAGAGAATGTAGAGAAGAAGTCTGACGATTTCTTCTGTGATCAGAGTAGATCGTTTCTTGACCCTCGATATTCCTTGAGAGTGTACCGTTCGTTTTGATCCGTGAGCTATGTTGGACGTGTTCTGATAGAAATTCTTGCGAGTCTTGGTGGATCTTGAAGTTGTTAAATTGAGGAGATTCGAGGGATTTAAATTAAACTTATAATCGTTAAATCTCGGGGATATAATTGCTAGGGAAATAGATGAAAAGTGATACTATTTTAATTAATTTGATTTGAGTGATGCTCAACGCAGATAGTGAATTTTGAATTGGATTGGATTATTAAACGTTTCGATTTATAGGACGTAACTAAAGTACTGAATTACGTAATTGGTCAAGACAGATTGTCTTTGGAACATTCTATATAGTATTCCACGGATTAACGAACTGTGAAACGTGATACATGTGAAAAGAAAATTCTTTAGTCATTTTCTTAAGATCATCCAAGGTATAAGTTCACCACCATCTCTCTTCTATTAATTTCTTCTCATAACGATCAACGTTATCACTCTCGACGCAGCGATCGTCTCTTCTAAATCGCTCTGTACAATCAGTGCGAAATAAAAGACTGGTGTTATCGCTACCATAGACCCCGAACAGTTCAAGTAGATATAGCACCTAATTTCGTGCCTTATATGCCTCGAAAACCGAAAAATTCGATAAATTCTCGCGTTCTCCACCATTTTCCTTCTTCAAATTGGTTCCCTTTTCTGTGACGTTCAGTCCAGTCGCTGCCATGAAAATCAATCGATCCGTTTCAACGTTCCCGGAACGGACACGTCGGAGTCTGATTGGCGGAATTGACGGGAGCAGGAAATTCGAATCAACGCCGAGAGACACGCTTGAATTCCAGTATCGCTCGTGGTCGTCGCGCAGTAATCGCGTATCAGTTACCCGTTTTCGTACCATTTCGTTTCTCATTGGTTGTTAATCATTTAACAAGCCCTGCTGGGAACATCGGAGAGTATACCCAGGAAAAAGTAGGCCGAGGTCACCGAAACGGAAAAACTGGTTGCAAACTCTCGTGGATCATTTACGAACACGACGCATTGGGGACCGTTTGGTCTTAGGAAGTCGGGACTTCCCGTTGGTCGAAGATCGCAGGCGAGGACGATGGAGATTGGACCGTCTCGATCCAAAGAGAGGTCGTCAACCGCGTGGCCGACACGACCGTAGATTCCAAGACGATCGATGGAAGATCATCCGACGGAGGATCAAACGAGAAAAGAATATCTTAGAGAATTTTTCGTTTTGAATGACAAAATTATTTTACACCCCTGAGTTTCATTTCGTTTTTTTTTTATTTTCGATTGATTTAAACTCCTATTTTGGGATTTTTCTTCTCGTAACTTATTCAAATGATTCGTTTTCCTTTAATCAACGATCCTCGATTGTGAGACGCGCGAGGAAGCAGGCAGATTAATATACCAGAACCTTTTTAGATACATATATATATATATATACTTTTATATCGGTGTATTCGTATATATACCCCTTGAAGCACTTTTTAACGATTCGTTTTTGAGAGACGGCACACGGGTTTGTTTGTTGAGCGTTGGATCTCTTCGTCGTTGTTACAGATGGGAAAGCTCGGTAGCAATCCATTGGCCGGACTCGCCGCTCTCGGCCTGGGAGGCCTCGCCACACCTGCCAACACCGGCGGACTTAATCCAGCAGGTGAGTGTAAGTGGAAATTTTATTTAATGCATTCACCGCCAGATATATTTCGCCTGACTTCTCGTAGAATTTATTGATTGTGACCGTCACCCATGACCGACAGGACGTAAACGAAAAACTCCGTGTCAAATTTGGTGCCGGTCACGGGTGACTCAAATGGAAAATTTAATGACGATCATCGGGGACTGTCAATACTCAAATGGAAAATTTAATATTGGTTACCGGGACCGTCAATATGTAAACGGAAAATTCGATGTCGGTCACCGGTGACCGACGAGACATACATGGAAAACCCAACGTTGGTTACCAGAAACCGTCAAGACGTAAACGGAAAACACAGTGTCGGTCACCGGTGACCGTCATGACGGTGAATGTGTTAAGCGTTTGTTCCCCTCTAATAGTTTAGTCTTTAACCCTCGGAAGGTGGACGATTGTGATGTCATCGGTCCGTTTGGACCACCGTGCATCATTCTTTCTAAATGCATCTTTTAAACAAATTTCTTTATGAATTAGCTTTCTTTTTATTTGACTGGGTATAAACGATTGCTAACTTAAATTAGTTATAAGAAGCTGTTGAGTTGGATGAAGTTCTTGAAAACTCGAGTCAGAATAACCCAGTCATCGTCGTCCGAGGGTTAATTCTTTGTCGTGAATCCTCACCGTTTGCTAACAGTCTTCCGCGTCCTGGGATCTTAATTCCGAGTAGCCCACAATTGAATCGTTGATATTATAAGCCATATAATGACACCAGACAGTGTATGTTTATGTAGATTTAAACTTTTATAGTTCACTTTCCAAAAACAGAGTTAAATTAATTTGATATCAATACTTTACATACAAACTATCAAGACATAGTATGAAGTACGTTTCATTGATTCGGTTTTAGCTCGGATCAAATTTAATTCAAGGAATAATGATGCAACAATTTATTGAACATTGCGCAACAGTTAAATAGAAACTGACTTATATTATAATAATTTATTTTATAGTGTTCTATACATATTCATGAATTTTTTAAATCCATAAAATGCACACTCTGGTGATACTCCAGGCTTCGATATCAAGCGGGACCAAACCCCAAATGCCCCAAATAAAAAAGTAGAGTTGAAAACACATTCGTTTCTGTTATTAAAGATTCCATTAAAATTTCACATATAACATTAAATGTACGCATGAGTAATCGAAATTTTCCAGCAAAATACAAGGTTTATTTTAGAAGAAAGTAAATCAATTCATCTTAACACTCAGTTCTTGAATTGCTTGAAAACAAAAAATTTCGGATTATTCATACGTACATATACGTAACAGTATATTCCGAATATTCGCGATTAGCTACACGAGACATACTTGAAAGAAAACACGTTGCAAAACGTTTCGTATTTTAGCACTGGCAGCGCTGGCCGGCAGTCAGCTGCGCACCAGCAACACAAACAGGCAACAGCCAGCGGCGAACAATCAGACGCACGAGCTGACCGTGCCGAACGAGCTGATCGGCTGTATCATCGGCAAGGGGGGCAGCAAGATCGCGGAGATCCGTCAGATCTCCGGCGCTGTGATCAGAATCAGTAACTGCGAGGAGAGGGAGGGCGGCGCCACGGATCGTACGATCACCATCACCGGAAATCCGGACGCCGTCGCATTGGCACAATATCTCATCAATATGAGGTGAGTACCATCGGGTACCCCCCTTAGAGAGCACACTCTACGCCCCCATTCCCCCCTCCCCCTCTAATGGTAATCGAGATCGAGGACAAGGGTCTCCCGTCAGAGGAGCGTTTGGGCCTCGATCCGTTGTTTGCACCTTCAGCAAAACCGTTCCAAAAGGGTTCAGAAACCCCAATTCTCTGTCGAATTAGACAATCGAAAGCGGAGAAAAACGCTTCCGTATGTGTCGAAATTCTAAACAAAGTCGAACTCGTCCCGGCTACGTTTTACGGTAGATCGCGCGATACATATACTTCCCTTCTAACCCCCTAGAACCACCCCTACCCCCCTATCTTTCAGATTTTCTTTCGTTCTCATCGATCGGCGATCGAACCGGACAACCCCGCCCCAGACTGTGTATATGTCGTCGGTGTAGATATGTTTACACGTTATAACGATCCGTAAAGGACAACAACCCCTGGTCCCCCGGAAACACCGCCCTACACCCCAATTTTTTCGTATGTTTTTGTGTTACTCGTTCCTTCCCCCCGTAATTGGACCTTTCTTAGCCTTTGGTGTCCTTGAAGGTGATCAGTGAGACTAAGGGAATAGTCGAATTGCCGTCATCGCGATACACACCTCCCCCATCATGTTTGTTATTATTGTTACTATTTATATATATATATATATTTACTCTATTAGCGACGCGCCGGTGTACGATATACATTTGTGTAATCTATTTAGAGATTGTTCCCCTGTGACTTTGGGAATCGCTTTGGATATGTTTAAGTAATATAAGAGTATTCGATGGAGATATCTAGAAAGATAAAATATCGTGTATTGGCGCGTCGATCGCAAGATACTTTTTAAAAGTGTCACGAAGGAGATGGTGGTACCTGGAGAACAGAGAGAGAACCTCGCACATGGGAACGATAACCAAATTTATATAAGTGTTTTTTCCTCGTGTCAACGTTCTCGTGCATGCGACGATCGTAACGCCACCTCCGATCTATAGCGAAAAAAAAAAAAAAGAAACCAAACAGGTGAGGATATTGTCGTAGTTCGTAAGGTCACACATAGCAAATATAGAAGACGTCGGAGCGCCGCGTACCAAAGGGATCATCGTCTGCACGGAGTCGCCGGAAGAGACATCTTCGGTCCGCCTCCCCCCACACGACGGAAGAGGATATTCTTAATCCTTTATTTCCAGGTCCTGCTTTCCAGGCCCAGTACCCTGAGTATCCTGCAGACACATCTCCGCTCAACATCTGTTCCCCATTGTCGCTGGCTGTCCTTTCAAGCAAACATTTATTTTTTTTTTTTTTTTTTTTTTTTTTTTTTTTTAAAGATTTTATTATATATGAACCTAAGACAGAAACGACACGTGTAGTCGAACCTATTCTTATAGCAACGCCATTTTCCGTTACGATTCATTCCCGAAGTGTCCCGCGCAAAGGCATAACAGTGCAATTCTTCCTTCATCCGATTCGGATCTTTTTATTTATTTTTTTTGACAGTATTTTTTTCGGGAAACGCCTTTGGCGAAGGTTTCTCGCAATCTGGTCGTCGCTTTGTATCTTTGAGTGTGTTTATTTTCAATACACTTTGCTATTAATTTCAATTGCACGTTTGGATCATTGTTATGGTTATAGTTTCGAGGTCGAGGTAAAGTCATTTGGAGGTCAGTTCGATCGACCCCGGATGAAAATTAACAGTAGTGATTTGTTATTTTAACTCTGTTTTAATTAACTTATATCAAAATAGCGTTTATCAAATGAACTAAAAGAATGAAAATTATCAAATTAAAATTTTCGACGAACAGAGTCACTCGAACTGACCATCGACCGTTCATTCAAAAACCACACACACCCCCTTCGCCAAAGGTCACGCCCCATATCGATACATACTTTTAATTTTGTTACGTTCTCCCCGCTGTTGTTCATCATTGTGTATCAGTGTTCGATAGTGAATGTCCACGGATGCAGGGCGTACATCTGTTTACCTCCTTAAAAAAAAAAAAAAAAGCCGTGCCATGGGACTAATACCCCGCCCACTCTCTGTTCACACAAAAACGCAGCGACACTTGAATGCTGAACGATACTAACGTAGTCGTCGACGAGATTCGAGATGATCGACCGCGTCCAATAAAGAGCCTGTAAGAAACTATATGTACATCACACTACCCGACCCTCTTTGTGCAAAAAAAAAAATCAGACGAGTTAGCCAACCCAAAAACCGCAATCCCCATAAACGACGGGTGTCCATGATGTTAATTTTTAGCCGGGACCGCGAGAGCACACGCGGTGTCGGTAAAGAGAGAGAAAAAAAAACCTCCACCACTCCCCCCCCCCCCCCACACCCAAACCACCACGTTATAATTATAATCCATTATATTTTATTCCAGATTGTCACTCATAATTTTACTACTGCATTTAATAGCGACAGAATATTCATCAATCCCGTTACTTCTGTACCCCACTCATAACTTGGTAGCCACGATTATTACATATATACCCCCCACCCTCACAAGCATATTCCCCCACGACGGCCCAGGATCCGCGTTCCAGGCCATTCAGACGGCCAATTATCGACCGTGGTCCGGTTGTGCTCCGCGACTCGCCTGAATCAGCAGCCATTTCTGGCAGAGCGCGGATCCTGCGCCTCTCGTTCAGTTTGATTTCCGCTTTTTCAGTGACTCCGACAGAGCCATGCTACACGCGTTCACGCATGAAAAATCCACTTCGCATCCAAAAGTATCCGTGACACGATACCATCGAACGTTTCCGTTCGCTTTTTAGAGTTAGACCACGGGGCACACACTTCTGTAAAGAGAGAGAGAGAGAGAGAGTGTCCTAATCCTCCTTGCTTGGTCGATCATGTATCACGCAACAGTCGATGGCTCTGTCGCGCCAGGCGAAATGGACACCGTGTGATACCTTTTCAGGTGCTCGGTTTTAGAAGTTGAGAGTTTGGTTTGGATGAACACGGTTCCATTTCACTGGACGCCTCCTTGCAGCGCGTCCTCCGCGTCGGGACGCGACTTTGTTGGCCTGGTGCACCAGCGCAAGTGGTTAAGCCACGTTGCCACTTGTGGAATTCGGTAAAAATTTGAACTTCCGTATCTGGTCACCGATGATACCTGTTCGGAATGATCTCCAATAGTCTTTTACATTTTTTAACACGTGGGAACACGGTTTAGAACCGTGGCTACAGGCACAGTCTCCATTCGCAAAGCCAACCGAACCGCGTCCCGAACGCGACAAACTCTCCCCCACACACACCCCCCTCACGAACCACCACGTAGCCGGTGTACTTCAGAGTCTCACGCTCCATGGAGCCACACCTGTGCTATAACTCTCTAAAAAGAAAAAAAGAAAGAAAGCCTGTTAAATACCCGACGACTATGATTTTTCTTTTTCCGTTTCTCTGTCCAACTCGACGCTTCTCTGTTAATCTGATAACTTCTTTCTTCTAGCTACCGGTTTGAATTGTTTCCATCGTCTTTCTTTTTGTTCGCCACTTTATTCTTCTTCTTTTTTTTTTTTAATTTCTTTCATTCTCCATCTCTCTCTGTCACTGTTCTTTTCTTTCTTTTATTTCTGTTCTCATTTTATCGGAAACCACACAGACACACGTGTATATACAAAACGCAACACCTGCATATATAATACCATACGCGCGCATATACACACACACACACACACACACACACCAATCCAAACACTCGCATACAGAGACCAATGCATAACAAACACACAGACATTATAAACATTACATACATACCGTATCAGAGGAACGTTCCCACCCTCACCTTTTTACATTTTGTGTCTTTTCCCCAGTGTTGAACTGCAGAAAGCTAACCTAGAGGCCCAAAATACCCAAACCCCTGGCAGCGGTACCACTCCCGGGGCATCCGGGGCCAGTGCTTCTCCCTCTACCACCACTACCACTGCCTCTCCCTTGGCCAGCGCCATTCCCTTGGCTCAGCTGCTAAGCAAGCCAGGCGCCCTCAACGCCCTATCTAGCCTCACCGCCCTCGGCGGACTCACGGAATTGCTAGGTGGTGCTGCTGGTGCGGCTGCATCCGCGCTGCCTGTTCAGACAACCGGCGTGCACCGGTCGCACAAGTTCACGCCGAGGCTACGTAGCCCTGGCGCACCGGGACCGACCGACAGTGGGAAATTCAAATCCGAGCGCACCAAGTACAACCCGTACTGAGCCAATGGACGACAGCCCACGGAGAGACGCGACAGGGAGATCATTACACATTCTACCACACGCATTACCAATAATCACCACCAACAACAACAACAATTACCGAACCACACACACACGGAACACGAAATTTACATCGGAGAAACGTGCGTACGGACGCCAGGGTAGCGCGAGTCCGGATCAAGACTTGGCTAAGGATCGGACCACGATTTTTTCAATGGACCTACTACTACTTCTGCTTCTTGATGGTAGGGTAAGGACAAGTAGACCGACCACAGTGAGGATCGTTCGCCCCCTGTAAACGATCTGTTTTAAACTCTTCGGGGCTAGAGATGTATTCTGCCCATTGGTCTTTCTTGGTGTGGTTACCCTGAAAGTGCATTTTTTTTTTCTGATGTACAGGGTGTAGCTGACGTAGGGTAGACTTTGGTAGAGCATGCTATTTGTCTTAGGGACGGAGGGAGGTCCGACGAGTGTGGATTCGGAAGTTCTTACCTTTTTCAAGTAGATTGCCATGCGTTTGGTGGAGAGGTTAACGAGTGTGCTTCACAAACTTGTTCGCTGTCCGAACCTGCGAGCGTGTATTTCTAGAGATGTGTGAGATTTTTATAGCAGAGATTCTGGTTTCTTTTTTAGTAGTATCCGTTTTTTATTTTCCTAAATTTTAGTTGAATAGTGGTACAGTATTACAGAACTTGAAAAAGAACAATTATCATTTTCTTTCCGTTAGAAATTAATAATAATACTGTCAGTCAGGTAATAATAATAGTTGTTGGAAGGTTCGGACGATATTCTCGGATAGTTCAGTCAAATTTTACTTCTTTACTCATTATTCTGTTGGAAAAATGTCAGAAAAACGTAGACTCGTATATTTCAATTATGAAGAAGCATTGGACCATGTTGCTGAAATCAATTTTGAAGCTTAAAGTAATCGATGCTATTGTTCACCATCATTGATAGAAGGAATATTACGAATCAGTAGGCATTACATCTGCTGGCACATTTTTTCTTAATAATATAAACCATCTAAAAATGACAATTTATTCGATATATTATAAATTGAAGTTTATTTCTATATTCCGAAACGGAAAACATTCCGGGTCCATGTTTATATCACCTCCGTGCGTCCTTAAGGTGAGTAGAGACTCGATTTCTAGAGTTAGTAAAACCGAAACCCTGTGAACGGAGATCGTCGAGATCCGATGCTAAGTCTTCGGACCCATCACACTAGCGCGACACGTCCTCCGAGTCTTTCGCGGTCCGCGTCTCTCTGTTCAAGCAACGCGTCAAGATGGTAAACAATTTGATTTCTTTCTCTTAATATATATATATATATGTAATGTAATTGGGATGAATAATTAATTGAATTAATGTTTAATGCAGAACAACTCTTCTTACTAGCGTTAGGAAATTCCGATGTAATTTTTTCTTGTAGTTATATAGTCAAGACCACTTGAATTGAGAGAGGGACATAAGAACACGGCGCGAGTGGAAGAGCGAACGAGGGATTATTGGGACAAAATTTTAGGGTGTGCGTGTATGTGTGTGTGCAAGTCAGAGGGAACGAGAATTATACATTGTTTTCTTCTTTTTTTTCCGATTATGTCTTTTACACGAGAGAAAGGAACGAGTGAGAGAGCGAAGGAGTGTGTGCGTGTGTTTGTTAGAAAACCGAGATTAAACGAAGAGAAAGAAACCGAGACAAAATGCGTGTGTTAGATGCACCGTGTCGTAATCATGTAAACGTGCTTTAAGAGAACCCGACGACAGGACTTCCGCCGGAAACGGTTACAATGAGAGAACCAGAGCGAAAGAGAATAATAATCAGAGAGCTTATCCGAACCTCGATGAGGTAGCGTGCTTCATCGAATGTGTCGTCAGTGAATATAATAAAATACATATTATATTCGATTATACGAGGTAATCAATCAATTTACAATAGTGGTCATTTTATTGTAACGATATATAATTATATACAATAAACATGGAGAAACGTAATCATTCACGTTGAACACGGTCGATTATATATATATATACATATAATACATGTACCGGGATTATAGATTGCAAGAGAGAGAGAAAGAGAACGAAGAAAGTAAAACGAGTTCAGATTAATTAGCATAAACTAACGTTATAGATACGTATTATACCTTTTACCAGTTACACGTTACACACATACACGTACAGAGACACACATACACACTGACACAGGAGAGAGGAAACCAGAGAAACCGCGGTGTGTCCTCGATGGAAAATCGCGATTGTATCGATCGTCTTTTCTTCTTCGATCGACGAGAACCAACAGACGGCGAAATACGAGAGTGAAAAATATATATATGCGACGAAGGACGACGACGGCGTTTGACGTACGTAATTCGGGGTCTGAAAATAAAAATCAAGTTACGACTACGTGGCATGAGGATGGTCTAGGGACGAGAAGAGAAGAAAAGACTAAAAACGATATATCGTCCGTTTGGCGTTGAACGAAATCCGGCGGCTGCTGCGTAAAAGAGCTCCCAGATCGGTGTTTGTGTGCTCAATTTCTAGTTCGTAGCGAGGAAGTAATCGTTGCATATAGCGATATCGATCATGGTGTAAATTTACGAGATCGTGTGTTGCGTCGTATAACGAATCGAGCACGTGATCGTGATCGCGGATCCACCACCCACCGACGGATTATCCATTATCATTCCTGAATGGGAACTGTGATCGAGAAAAAGGACAATTTTGAATTTTCGCGGTTCGAATCGTATATACCCTTAAAGGGTCAACACGTCGTCGTCGGGATCAGCCCGCGATCGCGATCCACGTGGCTCGTATTTTAATATAATAATACTTTTTCATTGCGTTCTTCATCCTTATACCAATCCATATATAGTCTCGCCCCCATTTCGTTTTTCTCGTCGAGACAATAATAATTTTTTCTGATGCGTCGAATCGAGACGAAGAAAATAAAAGTAACACGACAGAGATCTCTCGATCCGTCGGTGGCGCGAAGATTCAGAGACGGGGAGGTTTGACGATCAAGATTCGAAAAAAAAAAATGAGAGTATATACACACACGGATTCCTTTTTTTTTTTTTTTTTTTTGTAGGTTATTTAGTTTTCAAAACTGTATATTGGTCTCTACATAAACGATGTCGCCCAAAGCTTGTGTGCTTAGCAGACATTAGCTACCCTGTATCACATTGTTAAATAAAGCTAGGCGTGTTTAATACAATACGATGAAGCAACAAAAAAGAATAAGATGGAAAACAAAACACAACCAACGTGTTACGGCCTTCCTTCGAACGGGGTCCCGCAACGCACTCGGCCACCATTTTCTGATACGGTGAGAAAAAGCGTTTTCTCGAGAGCGTCTCCCCCGACTGTTCTTCGAGGCGGAAACTGCATATTCAGGCTTGCACGCGCGTTTATTTATACGAATATATCGATCCAGCTCCAGGACTAATTCTGTAGTACCTTGCGCGACCACGTTTCTGGCGTGCTGCATTTTATTGTTGATGCCTCCTTTTTTTTTTTTCGTTTGTTTTTTCTTCTTTTTTTTTTAAACAGCGAACAACCAACCGTTCGGCGAAAACGGGACACAAAGCACGGGAGGGTACAGACTTGACAACAAAACAGTTACCAGTCACACAGACTCCTCTCAATTATCGTCTGGTTTGTTCTACACGATTATTGTCCAGGCGTTATCCCCACCACTGGGGAGGGGGAAGGGTGAAACTAGTCAAACGCATACTTTGTTGTCCATCCGTTTTCGTTACCAAAGCTCAGGCTTTGGACAAGAAATGAATTTACGAGGATCTGAAGCATTTCTCCGTATTAGATTATTGTCCCGGTGCGAATCAGAGTTCGGGACGATAATCGAGAGGATTCTGTAATACCACGGCACAATTGTCACATTTTCAAAGTCCAATATGTAATTCGTTCCCACGTTTCCAAACGATCAAATCTGTACTCGAGCCTCTGTTAACCGAACACTGACCGTAACCGAAAATAAAAAGAATGGTGTACGATCCGCGCGGACTCGCTAAAAGACAAAACAGAAACATCCACCACGTGGATGCACACAGAATCTTTTCACGGTGTATATACATACGTTTCCGCGAATGGGAGCGTGGCGAACGTTGGCCGTGCGTGTTGCTCTGTCCACACGCGGAACGTTCGTCCTCTCCCCACGTGTGTGTATTGGTCCGTTGCTCCCCTGGTCGCGATCGATTGATCCGCAGCGTATATACCCGGTGAGTAGCGCGACGAACAGGCAAAATCCTATATATAGAGCAACCCGTATATACGCGGTATATGCAGATATGTCACACACATACGTGCATGTATAAACCGTCTACCAAGAGTGGCGAAAAATAGAGATACTCGTACAGAAAAGATGTAGAGAGAGAGAGAGTGAGAGAGAGCGAGAGAGAGAGAAGATGTATCCATCCAACCAACTTGACCCAAGGCTCCTGCCCGTCTTTGGTAAGCACCATCCGCTCCTTTGTAGTCCCCTTAATCGACACTTCCACCCATTTTTTTTTTTTTTTTTTACGAACCGTTAACTACGACGAGATTTCATTGTTTTTTTTTATTATTATTATCATCGTTAAATTATTCTTCTTGTACTCTCATTTAAAGCCTGTTTGTTTAGCTTTTTTTTCATGCGTGGAGAAAAAAGAAACGACGTAAGAATAATATCGCGATATCTACTGTCGTTTTGTTTCGAGCAAACCGGTAACGGACCAATCATCCAAGTCACCCCTCCGGAAGTGATTCCACGAGAATAATAGCTGTGTCCCCTCGGTGTGTGTTGTTGTCCCCCCTCCCCCTCCCGTGACGCGTCGGTTACGTAACGAATTTTCTACGAACGAACTATTATACATAATCGGTTGCACGGTTTGTTTATGGCGACTCTTGCGATGATGGATTCGAAAATGAACGAACCACGATCGTCCCACAGACGGTGGATGAGGTGGAAAATTTTTCACGTAGACCGACGTGTTAATGGGATGCAACCGGGGAACGACGAAGACCGAGGATCTCCTTTCGTAGATCCGATATGCATGTTTTAGAGAGAGGCGAAGAAACGCAACCCGTCGCTCGTTTCGTGAATCGAGGATTTAATTAGAGAGTTCGTTTTGCAAAGCATCGTGTTACCTCATCTAAATGGAAATCTTCGCTCGGGAAGTTTTTAGCTGTTTCCCCCTACCCGTCTTGAATTCCATTAGTTTTCACTCGCCGATTTGAAAGTCGGGTCTTGTGCACAGTATGTTTATATAATTTCGACGAAATCGAAGATGTGTCCTTTGTAAGTGACAAATATTAGACATTACATTTCGTGAGAACAGTACAATTGAGGACCTTGAAGACTAAAGGGGTGCATAAATCGCTCATTTGTTGTCGTTAAAAGGTGTCGTTAAATTAAAACAACTTACAGAACACAGTTACAAAAATGCTCGATTTGTTCTTAAAATCAGTTCAAAAATTAAAATTTCCTTTTCACTGGCAAATTACGCAAGAATTTTAGTCTTTAATTTCGATCATTGCATGATATTAACAATTCTCCTGTTGACATGAAACGTAACCTCACAAGGGGAGAGCTTACAAGTACAGAAATTTT